ATATATTTTATTCTTGTTTGTAAAGAAAACATTTGTAGAGAAGAGCTATGTGACAAGATGTGTATAACAAATTAATTATTCATAGTAATACAAAAAATTCTCTATAAATAATTATTTTATATAGTTTTAATTTCAATCTGTATTTAGACTGATAAAGTATAATTTAAGTTTATATTTTATATTCTTTTTTTATATATTGAAATTGTGGATCAAGATGGGAAAAAGGAAATATAAAATTATATTTTATAAATTATTATAGGGAGGGATTATTACATAAGATCGAAATAATTATTATTTTAATCGATATCGTAATGCTATATTATAACGAAGAAAACGACTGCGTTGTCTGTGATACCGTATGAAATGTCAAAACAAATTAAATTGTAGCTGGAAAGGGCGAAAAGAGCATGGCTGCTCGAAAAGTATAGCCTTGGCCTGCTTGAGAAGACTGCTTTCCCAATAAGATACTTCTTCTTTACTCCATGACGAAATTATCGTCGCAATTGTTCACCCGTCACCGAGTAAATAATTCATAGGATAATCGTGATTGATTTGACGACTCCGACTACGCGTTGAGCTCGAAATTCGAACAATAATCTACACAAGAGGTGAAAGTACACGAATGACGAGGCGAATATTTTGTGCCGACAGACGTAATTGTCATGAAAACAATTATAATCGTCACGAGTGATTTAACATTCCGAACTTTATTACTTTTACGTAGCGAATCCTATCGGGATTAAGAGGTCGCGGTTTCTAAAATAATTTGTACATCTGAAAATACGAGGTCCGATAAAAAAATAAGCGGACTTCTTGACTTACTCGGCAACGGAGCGTCCTAGCGACGTGCGGTTTGCAGCACTACAATCGTTAAAATCTTCCGAGTAACTGGCTTTTAAAAAATTGTTTACATCTTGTTTAGTTTCAGAGTTATTGCTATTTACAACGTTTTAGTGTACGTAGCGATTTTCGCCTCAAAACGAATTTTTGCAATTTTTGCCTCAAGGTCGAACAATCAACCGTTAGTACTACGATGGCGTTTTGAAAAATTCATTTTGAGGCGAAAATCGCTACGTACACTAAAACGTTGTACATAGCAATAACTCTGAAACTAAAGATGTAAACAATTTTTTAAAAGCCAGTTACTCGGAAAATTTTAACGATTGTAGTGCTGCAAACCGCACGTCTCTAGAAACGCTCCGTTGCTGAATAATTTAAAAAGTTCGCTTATTTTTTTATCAGATCTCGTATGCGTCGACATAATCACAGATTAAGAAAGGAATTGGATATCTGTACTTTTAAATTTTTCAAAATTCATGTAAATTGCATGAGAACTACATATTTCTCGTCCATGCTTCTATTATCGGGAAAAATGTTCACTGATCATAGGACATTCTTCATTCTTGAAGGCACGTAGGAGCGAAAATAAATGCACGCTCAACTAGCGGTCGTCGTACCTTCTTTTCACTTTTCGTTTTGCTACTTACTTATCGTTTTCTTTCT